CTCGTGGGGACTGGATGCTCCTTTTGGGGACCAAAGCCCTGTTCCCATGACTTCGGAGGCTGATTTTGGGTGGGGGGTCTTGGACCGAGGGTTTCGGTTAGTTTTACGGTCAGGTAGGTACCTGTGAGGTTAATTTTAGGGTAAATGGTCAGGGTTTGGATATAAAATTTAAAAAAATGAATGGAAGTCAATGGGAAGTCCTCACAAAGATAGAGACATAGTCGATGTGTGTGTTGTGTGTGAGCAGTGACACTGCTGCAGCACGAGCAGAGCAGCCGGGGGGATTCAACCTTTTGCGTGTGGCAAAGGCAGACATGATGAAGTCATGGTGACAGCGCTGTGCCCCCCAGTCAGGCGTCTCTTAACGCGCCTCGGCTTTTTTACACTCGTCCCTCGGCCGCTTTGTCCAACGCCACCCGCCTCACGGGGTAGCCTTGTTTGTGTGTCTGTTMGCGAAATATCTCACAAACCACTWGACAGAGTTCATAGAAACTCTCAGAAATAATCAGTGGATGTGCAGACGGTAAAGCTTTGGAGGTAGGCTGACTCAGCTGCAATTGAAGCATTTAACTATACTTTTTTTTTTTTTAATTACCACTTGTGTTGGCAGTATGAGTCAGAATTAGATCAGGTTATAGTTCCAATAAAGTAAAAATCTAGATTTATAATTTTTTWAAATTGTGTAAAAATTAGTTTATAAAAACACCATTTAGCAAGTAATCTTCCTAAATTAGCTTTGAATCAGTTTTCTAACATTTGTGTCTTCAGAAATGATACATTGTCTTATAAGTTTTAGAATTTTCTTAAAATTGACTATTTTCCTGTGAAATCCCTTCATGTAATGTTTGCCTTCATTTTGACCAGAGCTGGATTCTCTGATGAAATCACTCCAAAAAAAATCCTAACATCCTTTGTAGCCTTCTATATCCATCCATCCATCCATCCATCCATCCATCCATCCATCCATCCATCCATCCATCCATCCATCCATCCATTGTCTTCCTCTTGTTCCAGAGTCTGGCCAAGATTGATTGGTTCAGACGTACAAACTTTGGAGGGCACAGCTAAGTTAACTTTGCTAACTCATAATCTGCTTACTAAATAAAAAGTTTTTCTAACTCAAAACAAAAACAAAGGCAAGGAGGAAAACACTTTACCTGTGCCTTTGTTTTAARCTAAACTTTAAACTTCAATCTAAACTGAGGCAGYGCAAGTATGCACAGCAGTAGATCTGCACATGGATCCTGCTCCTTCCTGTCTGTTGACCAATAAGAGAGGAGCTGACCCAAGAAGGACCGCCCACTTTATTTACATAATGAGGCCGAAATGCATTAGGTAAAGTAAAAACAGGATACAGAGAAATGTAAAAGCAACACATGAAAATAAAGACTCGTGGTAAAAAAAAATTCAATAAAAACATTTAAGGGAGACAAATGCATGTACATGTAAAATTTAAAGCTAAAGAATATCTATTTAAAAAAAATTATGTGTTAAATATACAACTTATTGGAACTAAGTTTGAAAAATAAATATGAAGGTCAATTAAATTATTAAACAAGAGGTTCTCCTTTTTAAAATTAATTGGTGCATTTAAAGTTTATTTATTAGTTAAATGATATATTTCTGCTTTTATGTCAGTTTCGGTCCTCCACATCAGAACGGAAGTGAAAAAATGTGAAAATGCATCCCTGCTAGTATGGTGGCTCCCTTATACTTCTAGTATTACCTCTAAGCTAATTTAGTTTATTTATAATCTTAATATATTAGTATATTTCTAATTTTGATATTTTTTTGATTATGTTTAGCGTTGTCAGGACATGAGGTAAGGGCAGGAATAAAGCTAAAGGCTACTGTACAAWTTGACAATCACTTTTTTCTGGTCTTCCTGGGTCAAGCTACTTTTATTGTTATCCTCCTTTGAAAGACGCAGCCCCTAACCGAATGAACTGCATGAAACGAATCTTTTGAACGAATCATTTTAACGATCTGATTCTAAAGATTCATTACACTTAAACTGCTCCAGTGAAGGATTTTTTTTCTACTCTTCCATGCTTATTGTTTTCATAACTCTCTAATTTTACTTAARTTTCAATGTCCATTAGTAGTTGATTCAATTCGTTGCTGTTTGAAGGCCTGGTCCTGTTTTTATCTCCACTCCGCAGGCGGGGGGCGTGGCTTAATCTGGTATGTGTCACGTTATCAGGAAGCGAATCGTTCTACCTGCTGTTTACAGAGAGTGGAGGTCCGTGGGGGGAGAAACTGCCTGCTGTAAGTAAAAAGATTAATTTAAACAGTGTGCAGAGGCTGTTTTACGACTCCTCGGTGTTCGTTCTATCGAAACAACCGTGTTTGTATGCCCACGTCGTTCTGCGTTTTGAGAAAAGCAACTTTTATTTGGAGGTAAACTTGTCACGAGCTCAGTCAAGGACAGAAAATAGCCGCTTTGCAGAACTCCCGTATTTTACCGTCGCGTTTTAGAAGTCTCTTCCAATTTCTGGTAAAACAGCTAAGTTGAGCAAAATTACTTCTACGGTTTTCGAATCTGATTGTTTTCCTCTTAAATTCGGCACATAGCTAGTTAATTTAAATGCAACAAGTTTTTATTACTTGTCAGATACAAGCTGATTGGAGCTGAGTCAGTAAAACACAGGTGAAGTTATAAGGTAGTTTTGAGCATGAACGCAGCTGTAACCATGGAAGTGAAATCCATAAATGCTTTTATGGGATGGCAGAAGCTGTGACAGATGTAGGACGTGCCAGCTGAGACGCAGAGATAATGAGAACTAGAGTCCTTAGTTCCATTAAACAGACAGATGTCAGAAAGAAACCCCCTTGCAAATAAACAAATTTATATTTATTTTTAGCTTATTGTCCGATAGAGCAGCTGAGACCGTGACTGTGCATGRTAATGAATGTAAATATTTGTTTGCAGGTTCTGGACAGAATGCCTGATCCCATGGCGAGGCCTTTAATCCCAGGAGGAGATGAAGACAGAGGCATTCACCTGGAAGCCTCCGTGTCTGATCCCAGCAATCCGATCATCGGCATCCTGGGTACGGGTGACTTCTCCCGCTCTCTGGCCAAGAGGCTGCTGGCTGCCGGCTACCAGGTGGTGGTGGGGAGCCGGACCCCCAAGTGCTTCGTGGCTCTGTTTCCCGAGGAGGTCGAGGTGAGTCACGCTCCCACGGTGTATCTGGTGTTTTCTGTTTTCTTCCTTCAGGAGATAATTACATGTTCCTCTGACTCTCCCCGCCATGGATAATAACTGTTGTTCTGATCCTGAATCTGGTGGATTTAAAAAGTCTTTCTGTTAAAAACAAAACAAAACAGAGAAAAGGTAACAGTGATATCACAGGGAACTAGACGTCCCTCCAGATTTGATTTAAAAGCAACAAATGAAAAGTATATATTCAATTCAATTTATTTACACTCACCGGCCACTTTATTAGGTACACCACGCTAGTAACGGGTTGGACCCCCTTTTGCCTTCAGAACTGCCTCAGTTCTTT